TACCCACTTCAACTATGATGGCAGCCAGCGTGCTGGCTTTGCCATCTGGACAATGGCAGCCAGCGTGCTGGCTTACCCACTTCAACTATGATGCTAGCCAGCGTGCTGTCTTTGCCATCTCAACAATTGCATCACCACATGCTGCACTGCAGACTGAACAATAACGTGTGAATCATCTGCCTCTGGTCATCCTGGTTGACGCTGAAGAAGTGGTCGTCAACAATGCCAAGGTGCCCTGGCATGATGGCTGGGCAAAGAGGAAGACCTACGAGCTAGTGGGCTGCAAAGTAGTAAATAGCGCATGCATAGGCATAAGAAGGCTCTGGTTCATGTGCGATATGAATATTGCAAAAGCTTGTGGGTTGCGTGAAACTTCTTCCAAGTATATTCGTCACTGCTGTTGAGTAGATATTTTGGTAGTTAACCAACCACTATGCTTGTCATTGAGTAATTGACTGTCTCAGAGAAAAATAGCGTGAGGTGACACACAGCAGGCACTGTAGATGTTTTAGCGCACTCTCGCTGTTCGGCTCGCGACTAGTCTTTGTACACAGCAAGGATAGCGTTGTGCTTCCGCAGAACGACGTCCACACAGAATTTATCAGGAAGAAGTCACGGTATGAGACACACAGTTGGTTGGGTCTAGCGCGTCCGCCCGAAGCAGATCTGGATGGTGTAGGCATCTGTGAAGTTGCGGCGGTTGTTCCTCACCCAGTCGCGCCATCCACTGGACCACTGGACCACTCGCCAAAACTGCGATGTTTCTCCATGGGCAACCCAGTATCTGTTTGCTATGGACTGGTTTGGCCATCTTGCATGGATGAGCTCTGGCTGGTCGTCATGGTATGTCCTGCTTCCATAGGACCAACAGAGGCACACCTGTCTCTGGTCATCATGGGTGACGCTGAAGAAGTCATCCTCAACAATGCCAAGGTTCCCTGGCATGATGGCTGGGCAAAGAGGGAGACCTACGAGCTAGTGGGCTGTAAATTGGTAAATAGCACATGCATAGCTATAAGAAGGCTCGGTTTGCCTTGTAAAGGTTTATGTGGGAAATGAATATTGCAAAAGCTTGTGGGGCGCGTTCAAACTTCTTGCAAGTATATTCTTCATTGCTGTTGAGTTGATATTGTGGTAGTTGGCCCAAGTTGTATGGAGACTTCTGCAATGTCACTGTGAGCACCGAAAGGTCAGCCACGGAAAATGCACAGTCTGTTGGCACAGGCGCTCTGAGGGTGACATGTGCTTCGCTCTAGATGTAGTTAAGAACCACTATGCTGCTCATTTTCCAATCGCCTCTCCTACAGAAACATGCAACAAAGTAGCACGAGGTGACACGTAGCAGGCACTGCGCATGTTTTCGTGTGCTCTGGCCGTTCAGCTCGCGACTAGCCCTTGTATATGGCAGAGACTCCCCGACACTATGTCTATACTTGTCGTGCTTCCGTAAAACGACGTCCACACAGGATTTGTAAGGAAGAATTCATGGTATGAGACATGCAGTTGGTTACCATGTGAACATCTAGGTGACACCAGTGTGTGCGTCGGCTACTGGGGGCCAAGATTCCACCTGAGGCCACTGCAATATAGTTATAGATGAAACGTAAATTGTATAATATCTACTAAGGTAGGCGGTGAAAGTGTTTCATGTCCGACACTGCAATAGGTGCGTGACATGGCAGTTTGGGTTCAAAAGGGATTAAGGATCCAGTTTCGATCGATCGCTTGTGCCATCGCCATTACTACATCCTCGAGGTTCCAGAGAACACCGTTTTGAGCATAGGAGCTACCATTGCTACCACTTGCAAGGTAGCGGAGCCTTGCTCCGGCAGGTTCGCGTGAAAAAGGAGATCCAGGAGTTCAGACGCTGCACCGCCGCCTCTGAAATAGGAGTGGAGCAATGGAGCCAGTATCCAAGACCAAGGACGGCGTCCCACAATGGACAGGAGATGCCCGCAGCTTCCAGGAGTACGAGGGATGGCCCTCATGTGGAATGAGCCCATCCCCTACCACAAGAGGTACTTGAGTGGCCCGAAGCTGGTGGCCAAGCTGTCAGGTGCTGCAAGAAAGCTGATCGTAGGAAAACGACCAGATTGGCTATCTCATGCCAATGGTGTGAACCACCTCATGCAACACCTCCGAAGGAGCCTTGGGAAACCACAAATCCCAGAGCTTACAGAGCACTTGACCAAATACTTCCGTGGAAGTGAACGCAAGAAAATGGAAACAATGAACGACTATGTCACACGGAAGATGGAAACATATGCCCGGGCCAAGCAGGCTTTGATGAGAGTTCAACAATACAAGAAGCATCGAACACCCCAGGCATCATCAGCCAACAGCCATTCCGCTACACCAGCTGGAACACTTGGCACCAGTGGCAGACAGACAACGACGGCTACACCAGATGGCATGACTTCCCAGGCTGGAGCCACGCGAGAAGAGCCAGGCTCAGAAGAAGGGCTGGAACAATCAGCCTCACAGGCCTCAGCACCAGATCCATGGGCAAGCTGGCAGTGGCATCATCGAGTGCCCAGGAGCGCAACATGATCCAGCGGTCGGTGAGGAGTACACCGTCCAGAGGATGTCCCAAGAGCTCAGGACACAGTGGCCTGAGAACGATCTTCTCCGGACAGATCAGCAGACACCCAAGACCGCCAGCTATTGGATGGAGGCCCAAGAAGTGACAGATGATGAGAGACAAGGAGAACCCCTCACATCCGCGGCCCTCATTGCTGAAGGAATGAACGCAGAGGGGATTGCCCTGATGACTGCCGCCATAGAGGCAGAAGAAGAAGCTATGAATGCAATGCACAAAGCTCGGAGGACACTGCGGGAGGCAAGAGCAAAACAACATCAGGTGAAGCTGAGTCGACAATGCTACCGGGTGGGTGACAAGCAGAACAAAGACAGTCGCACCAGCCACAACACACAGAACACAGGCATTACATGCTTCAAGTGTGGGGGGCCACACAAGATAGCACAATGCCCTGACAGACAAGCACCGAAGACAGAGAGCAAGCCAACCACGCGCAAGAGGAGGCACCATTTGTGTGCTACCTGGAAGCATGGGAGGATGATGACGATGGCCACCAGACAGCCCTCGAAGAAGATGAAGAAAGCAGCCATTACACGGAAGAAGCATTGGCAACAGAAGACACCAGCGCACAACGTCGCAAGACCACAGCAGAGGCCATTGCCGCCGGCTACGGAATTCTGGCCGGAGGTGCGACGAAGAAGGCATCTGTACATGCCATGGAGGCCATCATGGCCAACAATTTGAAGAAGCGGAAGGACGGAAGAGTTCTCGAGGTTGACACCGACAACCAGCCGTTGTTCGGCTTTGGCAACAGTAGCCAAGACAAGTGCTTGAGCGCCGCAAAGATGAAGATTGTTGCCAACCAAAAGGACGGCGTCTTGACCGTCCATACGCTGGACAAAGGGGCTGGACCCATGCTGCTTTCAATAGAAACTTTGAGGGCCCTGAAGGCCGTGATCGACTTTTCCGAGGAACAGATCCAACACGGATCATTCAGCTCGAGCGACCGCAGGGAGGACACCAGCTCCTGTCACTCACAGACGACCTGTACAAAGACTCAGTCCGATGCACCACAGAGGTGCCGAGTTTGAAGGCATTATGCCACCAGGGACAACTCCTCCCGACCTTGCCGCCTGACAGGAAAAGGGAGGACAACG